ATATATATATATATATATATATATATATCGAGAAGCAGGAGACGTTAAATAATTAAACTTGACCACCCTTCTACCCGGTTTTATGAAGCAGTGGGTTCTCAATCATTATCGAAAACAATCATTCTAGAAATCGAACATGGAAATTGTAAAATGCCTGGCTGGAGATTGATTATCTCCCTGTTTTATATTATCAAACATCTCCCGCGCTACGCAAGGGAAAATGCGATAAGGAACATTTAAGAGCTTTTATTATATCTTTCAGTTAGTATGCGCGCTGTGATTGGTTAATTTAGCGGGCCGTATTCTCCTGTACGGCCCGCTAAATTTTATAGCTGTTTTTGTTGCCAAAATGTTTCGTGATATATCGCCAAGTGTTCGTAACTTTTTTAGCAAGTAAAAGTTTAGAACTTTCTTTTACTTCTAAAATTGTGTATTAAAACCTATTAACGACTTAACAGTCACTTAACAATGATTTCAAGTTGAGTCGTTTTGCTTTCAAGGTGCGTCAGAAATTTGAAGCCCTTCCGCGTGAATAGAAATCGTTCCCGAGCCCGTTAGACACACAGTAGAGATATAATAAATATCTTGCTAACCTCGTCTTCTCGGTCTGTACTGTAAGTTACGGATTCTCGTTTTCCCCCTCGATTTATGGCCCGCGCTCTTCGCGCTTGGTGGTGAAAAACTCGGTCCGTAACTTACAGTACGGCCCTCGGAAATCGGTTAGTAAGAGGAATATATATTTTAACTTACCAATAATGGGTGGTTGTGTTGGCGTTGGCGTCGCGGATGTTGAGGTTGGTGTTGGTACAGCTAGAGGCAGCACACACGAAAATAAATTAATTAACCATTTAAATTAAACACGATATGAGTTCAGTATATGTAGCTTGTGTTTGTTTGAAAGTGTAGTCAGCATCAGTTCAAATTAACAAAATATCTTATAAACAAATAAACGACAGAGTTTTAAGAACGCTCGGCTCACTATTAGGATAACGGAGGAAAGGTTCAAGGTTGAAATTTCTATCCTTAAAACCTTAACTCTAATTGCTAATCTTCATACATTGTCAGTCACTTTTGAGAGTTTATTGCCAAATCAAGACTATATCCCCTCACACAGTTCATGATTCTCTCACTCTCATAACCTATCCGCTTCACAATGTTTGCATAATGTAAGGAGAAATTCGACGTTGGTCAACTAAGGATCAACACTCACGTGCTGGTGGCCCCGTAATGGTGTAATTTGCCATGAAGCCCTTCTCGTTTGCAGAGCTGTCAGAGGAGAAGTCTATCGTGATAACTGTGTTATTATCGTAGGCCGTCGTTGTAACGTAGAAGGGCGTTAAATCACCACTAAAAAATCTGCTAGACGATCCATTTCGAATTTCGAGGATATCACAGCTGGGAAGAAAATAATCAAAAGCTTACAAGATCTTTTAATTATTTATTCCATCAAACCGAAAATTCTATAACAAGGAAAGAAACGACAATTCAAAGCTGATTTGAACTCATCACAGTCTAGACCTACGCTCTCTTTCTACTCAGTTATGACGTCATGACTTTGTGATGACGTCATTATTTCGCCAAGACGTCACAATTTTGCTATGACGTCATGATTATGCGTTTCCGACAACTCATATCCAGTTCTCGTATCCAAGATCTTGCACGCACTTAGCACAAAGCCTGTGAGCAGTCGATGCTTCAGAACTCACTTGGCAAAAAAAAACTTAACAAACAGGAAAAGCTTATGAAAACTTAAGAAAGGAAAGAGAACGCTCGTACCCTAATTGCAGGACAATGGCGTTGGTAGGATCCAAAATTGAACACTAAAAATAAGTGATATTACAAACGCCGGTCAACCCTAAACAAGGCGAAGCGAGTTACTAACTTCTAGAGGGCGGGACGTGCTTGAACCGCATAGCTTGGTTGGGGAGAGAATTGAAAATTGAACTGAAATGGGAAAAAGTCGAGCAAATTTAAAAGCACAAAGGCAGTAGCCACTGGCGATGGGCAGGGAACTAGGAGAAGCAGAAAGTTTCAAGTCTCATCGCTCCCGTTTGACTTTCCAAATGTGTTTCCCTGTAATTTCATTGACTTACCATGGCTCCGTATGAAATTCCGTGAAAGTGATATTCAGTGTTGAGCCTCGTGCCAGGCCCACTCTCCACACGCAAAGGGCGTTATTGGGGTAACTCTGAGGGAAGCCTGGGGTGGAAAACGACCCGTTCGGACCTTGAAGTTGACCGCCACAAGCTGCCTCTAAATATTGTAAAGCAACATTTAACTGAACGGTAAGACTGTGTTACAAATAGACTGTACAACACAGATTATCGTAAGTTTCTTTTCCTAATTTCTGTATTATATTTAACAATTAGATTCAGCGAGGTCGAAATTTCTATCACGCGCACTTGTAAATCCAGCGTGAACAATCTAATTGTTTTGGTATAAATCTACTATTCATTCAAAACTTTATCTAAATCCTCTTCACAGACAATTAGAAAACGCAAAGAAGCGGCCACCATCTTGTTAACAAGCGCACACTGCTATGCTACTCACTGTCTATCACAGAATAGATGGTGAGTAGCGTAGCCAATAAGAGAACGGCATTCGTGATAGAACGCTAGTAGATTTATACTTATGGCAAATACCACTAAATACGACAACAACAACAACAACAACGACAACAACAATTTGTACCCAGCATTTATATCATGCAGTATTTTTATACTCAATTTCAAGACTGCTGTGATTGAGTGAAATAACTGCCAACGGATGAAATTTGTAAAAATTTCAGTCGAAGATGTGCTAGTAGCCGAGAATTAATGGCCAAAAATGACAAATGGCACCAGACGATTTAGTACTTCCACTTTGAGCCTCATCTTATTGTAACTGATTTAGTTGCTAGCTTGAGTGGAAACCCACGAAGCTAGTCTTTGCCTCACTGTTTACAGCCGTCTTTTCTGCAGAGCAGGATACCGAAAGTCGGCCTACTGTTAAAAATTCTTAGCATATCCTTCACGGAATCTGTAAATACTGGGTTTAAATATCACTCATTTATTATGTTGACCGAGCCAGCCTGGGAGTACCCAGAATACTTCTGGGTCCGGTGTTGGTGCTATCTTCCTGGATGATGTCTTGAAAATTCCGGAAGTCATTCTTTTTTTTTTTTCAAGTGTCAACAACCGAGTCACGTACCTGATGTTTTTACAAGTAAAACAGTCGTCAACAATACCGTCAGGAAATTGTTCTTCAATTTCATCTTCAACAGTCGGGCACTTTGCGTTGATGGAGTCTAATGTGACAGAAAAAAATACACATAAAGCATAATATAAGTTGTAGTTTCACGATAAAGTAACATTGTTAGTGCTCACTGTTGAGTTGCCCCTGAAAGCAATACTCTTCTTTATTTAAGATAATAAAATTTAATTTCTCGCGTTAAATTTTGGCTGTCCTTGAGAAAAAACGGAATTAATATTGTTGCAAAAATCTGCGGAATTCATCAGAAACTCGAATTTTAAATAACCTTTCCTCGAATTTGGTACAAAAAAGTCCTAAGGTGCTCCTCTTTCTTATTAGCCAATTGGAAGTCGTTGTCCTTTTTGTTTTTGTAAAATAGCAGTTACACGGTTTGTGGTCGTGTGCACACGTATACATTTCACATTATACTAATACGTGCCTTGTTTGCCTTGGCACTTCAATATATTTCCATAGAAGGCAAATGACATCAACCTTGCTACGTTTCGACAATCTAAGCAATGTCAAGAACGTCTTTCAGATTTGAAAAACCTTGTAAAACGCTCAAGACAATATTACTCGAAATTTTCACGGCTAGCATAAATTCTGATTGACCTTCGATAACTCAATGTGAACTTAAGTTTATTTTATTTTTTTCTAGAAGTTAATTTTTTT